ATAGCGGCTAGCTTTGGGTTTGCGAATTGGGTATCTCGGCCGACGGGAGGGGTGGTTTCCGATGAGTTAGGGAGGAGGTTTGGGATGAAAGGGAGGTTGTGGGGGCTGTGGGTGGTGCAGACGGTGGCTGGGTTGCTGTGTTTATGGCTGGGTCGAGTTAATTCGTTGTGGGGTTCGATTGTGGTGATGTGTGGGTTCTCGTTTTTTGTCCAAGCTGCGTCAGGACTTACGTTTGGAGTAGTACCGTTTGTTTCCAAAAGGTATAAATATCTTTGCATTTCTTTATTAGTATTTAGAAAACCAGGAACGTGACTCTATAACTGCCAACAAAGGTTGGATTTTTAGTTTATACGTGTTTGTTTTTGTTGGTGCAGATCAATGGGGGTGATATCGGGAATGACGGGAAGCGGAGGTACGGTGGGGGCGGTGGTAACACAACTGCTACTGTTTTCCGGTGACACCAAATTTTCGACACAAACTGGGATTTCCTTGATGGGTGTTATGATGATTGTGTCTACTCTGTCGCTGACCACCATCTACTTCCGCGATGGGGGTGGCATGTTCTGTGGCTCTTCCGACTACGACTACCAACCGCTTGCCTGAGGTCAGACCAAACATGGGATAAAAGTTTAAAACCAATGACCAAGGATATGTTCTTTTAAGGAAAAAGATTGATTGGAGTCATCTAATATAATTAGATGATGATGGGGTTAAAGAAAACAAACGGGCGGATAGGATTATTTTGTAAGAATTTATGGATGGTTATATGAATTGTTTGGATTGGTCGGTTTTCTATAAAAAATTCCGTTGCCGGGACTTGAACCCGGGTCTCTCGGGTGAGAGCCGAGTATCCTAACCAACTAGACTACAACGGATTGTTGATTACTTATTCTATTTTATAATAAATAAATCGGTAATTTGTATGTAGCTGCAGTCTAAATTTAAAATAGATTCCAGCATTTTTTTTTCCGAACCGTGCTAATCTAATCCTAAACCACATGAATGTTTTAAACGAGGATGTTTTTAACTCTTTAAAATGAGGAACATCTTTTCTGACTTCTAAAGTTCTAATACCGCTGTAAGTCTTTCATTTTTTAACTTACTTCTCTATTGTTTAGTAAATCATTATGACATATTAACATCAATGATGTGATCACAATAAAAGACAAAGTAATATCATTTTAGTCTCCTTACTTTATGGTTTCTCTTTATCTGTTGTGTATTATGGTTTCTCTTTGCTTTATTTGTTAATCTATCTCTCTGTACGTTACATAAACAATATGCTCCCTTACGAAACGTTATCTGCTCTTTTGGAATGATCGTTAACCTGATCACCAAAAGTAATCATATGTACCAACATATTCTTGAATGATTCTGATGAATGACCCTCCCTATTCTAATATTCTTAAACAGTAGGTAAATAAACAATATGTATTGCTTTCAGAAAACTCAATGGTGGATTTTTGGTAATTCGTTATTGATCTTGTTTCACAAAAACAGTTTATTAAGATTTTATTTATTTAAAAGACATCAGAAACACGATTGACAATCAAATATTTCATCAAGTTAAGTCCAATCAAATATTAGATTCCCATTCAAACCAACTTATCAAGTATCAATCAAGAGCCACTCACCATGCCAATTAATATCGTCAAACTCAAGAAAAAAAAAAGGTCAACGGACACATGAACATCAGATTCGTTAAAGTGGTGCCAATTAATATCTGCAACTGGAGAGTGTGAACCTTAATTGTCGTTACAAAATTCATATCCAATTACTACTTACTAGTCGATCCTGAAACAAAGAAATATGAATACCCTCAAGTCCATCTAGTACAAACAAAGTAGGTCCCTCAAAAGTTTCAAGTACAAAACAAATTCAAAAAAAATAATAATAATAATAATAAATGTCCCAGTTTCAACAACAAAAAGAATAGCCGGACCTCTGAAAATCCATGTGGCTTCCACCCAAGATTATGGTGCTCCGGCATAGGAAACAGGGGGTATTCAACTGAAAAAAAGGTCAAAAGGAGCAACAACAATATAAACAACCATACATAATAGTCATAATACATTCACGTTCTCAATATCATGTATTCAAATTTACTTTAAAGGAATCATAATAATAATATAATCATAAGTGTTTTGAGTTTTGAGTTTTGAGTTTTGACAGACAGACGTGGAACACTTTGTGGTTATATAACATTTAATTAAGATAGACTTGACGTACCATTTAGCTGGCTGTACAACTCTGACTATTATCATACCCTTAGACTCAGAACAAAAGCTTTACTCTTTATTTTTACTTTCATCTGATTCTTTATCAATCTCCATTTTTTCAACCTTTTCAGATTCCCCATCTCCAGGTTTTTCAGCATCTGAATTTCCTTTGGAAGTGGATAGAGGAGTTTGGTTGCTACTGCTAGATTTCATCCATGAAAATTGCAAGTTATGACCATTCCAGCTTTTACCACTCAAATACGCCTTCTCAGCTGAATGTCTTGTCGTGAAATATACACGAGCTCTTCCACTATCGTTATTTCCACCATCACTGGGCCCTACAACATCATCCAACTCCACCTTCGACAAATCACCAAACTGAGAAAAATGTTCCTTCAAAACTGCAACCTAAACAAACAAACCAAACCATAAACAAAATGTCTTTTATCTATTAACCTTCCATTTTATATTTATATTATATAAAAAACTTACATTGGCAAGATCATTTGGTAGAGTTGAAACAATCTTAAAAGCAGTGGGACGGTTGTCCAGTTTGAACCGATTCGTGACAACCGATGGATTAATCGGCATCAATGGTCGTAATGATGGTTTCAAAACCGGTGTTTCTTGCATTGCAATTGCATTACTTGATTTACAACTGTGTTGAACACCAGACTCCATAGATTTGCTACCATTATCGATTACTTTTTCAGGATCAATGGAACTTGAAGTTGCAGCTTTTTCAGAATTATCAGCTACACTTCCAAGTTTCTGTCTTTTCGCCACCTGTTCACCTTCCGTCTCCCCTTTTACACCTGTAGCCTGAAAAAACAACAAAATAACCATGTTACTATATACATCGCTTCATAAGCTAATGCATATTGCAATATTGCATAACAAGATAAAATAATTGTTTACTTGTTTTGCAAGTTTGTCTAACTTGCGCCTAAAGTCGTTCCTTTTCCGATCAAGCATTTCTTGCTTTTTGCGAAGCTCCTCTTTCAAAACCTCTAAATTCTCCAGCTTCTTTTGTGAAGGTGGAGGGACTTTGGGGGTGTTGATGATCAGGGGCTTTGGGGGATCAGAAGAAGGAGCAGCAGATGTTCCATTATGTGATGTTGTTGATGAAACTTGTGGGCCACGTGGAGGTGTTGGAACATTACTATTATTATACCCATTGATAGGAACATTATCACGATTAGCCCAAAATAACCTAATGAAGCGATTACCCATTACAGCATCAGGTGCTGTTAAAGCAGCTTCTGCTTCTTCTCCTTTGGAAAACTGGACAAAAGCACGATCCGTGTTTATAGGAATGTGGATATCGATAACTTCCCCAAATTTATGAAAATGTGAAAATAGGGATTCCCTTTTGTTTTGTTGGAGGGGTATGCCACTCACAAATACTGTTCGTTGTGCTTTCTGTGTAGGCTTTCTGACACTTTTCCCATTTATGTCATTTCGTTTATGGAGGTGAACAACTTGACCACTATTTGATGGGTCCTGTTTTTCAATTGTCTCGAAATTTGAAGGGATTGGTTTTGAGGTTATATTCTCTTTGGTTTCTTTGTTTTTTGTACTTGTGATCTTGGATACCATATGTTCATCAGACCCAGATGGGCCGGATGGGCCAGGATCCAATAAAGGCCTGTTTTCCTTCACATTGGATTGATTTATTGATTGTAATGCAGGTGATGTTTGAGAATCGTTACCCCATAGAGGCTGATCTGGATCATAAAAGTCAGCTCCAACACTTGGAGAAGGATCAATTAATGCATCATTTAACTCATGTGCATTAGCATTGCCACTGACTCCACTTTTCCTAGTCTTGCCACGTGAAGCTTTGAATGAGGTTGTTGGGGCACCAGGGGCAGGTAAACCTCCTGCCCCAGATGGTGCTCCGGGCAGATTTGCATTTTGAAGCGATACAGGGAGATTAAACTGTGAAAGGCTCTGCAAGTTGTAAAATAATAGCAGTTTCAGATAAATGTAAAGACAATAATAGTATGCTATAAATAAAGAACATGTCATACCTGAACATCTTCAACAACGATACGATTGACACCATGTTCCATTGGGCACATATCACCTCTTAGGCAAAAACCCTGTTCTTCAAAGTCTCTACACCGCTGACGTGGCAGACCCATTCCCATGTTCATGGAGGGATTAATGGCTCTATATGTTCCTTGTAAACCAAGGGTATGTAGTGTATGTGTATCAATACCACCATTTGGATTTGGTATACCTGGAACCAAACCAAATGCACTCCAAGATGGACCATATGCATTTGAAACACTTGGTAAACCCCTTCCACCAAACATACCAGGGGGTACAGATCCTTGTTGACCTATTCTAGAAGCAATATCAACAGAGTTGAATCTTGGATCATGTTGATTCCAGTTTCCTCTACCCCTCATTGGGCCAGGATCCCTAATTCTCTGGTTCAAATCCAAAGGTCCTTGTCGTCTTTTGTCCATAGGGTTGAAATTGTAATTTTTCCATGTGTCATTCGAATGGGAACCTTGCTCCCTGTAAATATGCCCATTTTCAAAAGCTTTGTTTCCTCTTCTGTATGGCTTATTAGTAAATACTTGTTCCATGGAATCTCTTTCCAGTGATTGAGACCTTGCATCATCTCTTCTACGATGCTTATGGTTGCGATCATCATCATCATCATCACTGATTTCTTTCTCATTAGGATTGCTTTCGGATACAGAAGGTGAGCGACCTGGTTCATGGGCTGGAACTTTAAGCTCCATTGAGTGTTTCTGATCGCTTATTTTATGGTTGAGAAGATGTAACAGTTACTCGTGGAGCCAATGAACCCACTGGATCAACCTGAAATATTCTCAGAAAGGATGTCTCCTGTAAGTAACATTAAAACCTTTACCGAATATGAGATAAATTTCAAAATAACAATGTTATTTGCTTCTTCTGAAAGACCGCATCAGTCATCAGATGCTGTTATTCAGAATTGAGACTTGCAAAAGTTCTCCAAATCCCTAAAAGCATCTATTGTTAGCTTTAGCAGCAATTATTACCCATCAATGATGGATGAAACATATATTCACAATACAAAAAATGGTTATTAGATGCGTGGAGGGAGGATGATAGATAGAACAACACTCTTAATGGAAAAATGAACATGAACCGAATATGAGAACTTTCAGTTTCTTCTTCACTATCTACAAGTTTATTTCCCCAACGTTAAACATGAAATTGGAAACTGCAGACTGGTTCTCGAGGAAATTGACCCCCAACTGCTGTGCCGCAACACTCTATAGACATCATCTATCTAAAATATAACTCTTAGCATAATCTACATTCAATTTTTGCAGTCTAGGAGATGCTGAGTGATCCTATACAGACAATACAAAATGAACTACGTAGTATCTTATGCAGCAATTTCATCAATAGGATCAAATCAATAGATCGCATAGAGTTCCAAATCAATCAACAATCATATATGATATGCCCTAACAATTGTACAAATACAACAAAATTTTATAAGAACATAAGAAACTAACCTCAGTCTAACGATTTCCCTTATTAGGGTTACGATTATTTGTGTGCAAATAATATATTATAGCGTCCCGAGCTTCGGTTCGTCTAATTAATGGCGGAGCTTACGTTTTACTTGTGTACGTATACGTGATTGTCTGTGTATATCATCTTCTCCCTCCCCCCTCTCTCTCTCTCTCTCTGTAAATTCTGTAGTTTCTCTCTCCAGGACGCAGGAAAGGTTTTACAGATAGGAAAAGAAGAAAAGGCTATGGTAAAAATTTAACAACTCAAACCCTCGTACTTTGCAATATGAACACTGTTGATTTAGAATTTGGCAAATTTAATATTTCGACCCTCCTAATTTGTAATATGAATGTTGGTTGCAAATTTTCACATATATCAGACTTCTAAGGTTGTGTTGTGTTTAGTTACACAAAACAGTTTTTATTTTTTGTTTTTTGTTTTTGGTTTTCGTTTTTTGTTTTCAATTTTCATTGGAAACTTTAGAAAATATGTTTACTTAAAACTTATTCTTTTTTTCATTTTCAGTTTTAGAAAATTAAAAAATATTTTTAGATACTGGTGAGGAGGTAATAGTTTCAGTAGTGGTGGTGATGGCAGCGGTGGCAGTGATGGAGTAGTGATGGTGGTTATCATAGGTCGGTGATTGCATGAGTGGTGGTAGGTACATGGGCAGATGAGTTTGTAGGGCGGGGCTTAAGAGTGGATGGGTGTGGATGGATAGTGTAATGTCCCATTTTCACAAACAAAATTTTCATTTTTAACTAAAGCAAAACATCATTTTCATAAAAACCCAAGTTAAGAAAACGCATTTGTTCGAAATACAATTATTTGAAAATTGGAATAATATAAGTTAAATGTGGAACTACTATGTTGTTGACGAATGTGTACAGTCACGTCTTTGCCTTCCCATGATCATCGGAAGTACTTGAAAAACATTAAATCCACAACTGTAAACCAAATCTTAATGAGTTCCCCCAAAATATTACACACTACAATATACATACAAGCATACATGTATCGACCATCAGTCTATAATTGATATTCCCCTCACACATGCACACATCAACCTTCAGTACATGACTGGCCCGCCTCTCACATATATACCATAAACTGGTACCCCTTGACCTTCAGCATCACTTGGCTAGCACGAGTATCTGGGCTTACCGCGTACAGTAGGACTGCATTAACTCCTCTCACTTACACAAAACAACATATAAGTAAACAAATACACTTATACACAATCACATAATACAAGCAACTGAACAAACTAGTATACCTACCTAGCATGTCCACTTTGCACAAGGAAACACTACTGCTAACTACATTGCAATAGTGAATCTCCAAATAAATGCATAGTTGTATGTAATCATAGATAAGATAGACAGTCAAACAAATAATCTTACTCTAAAGCCACAACCAAACAAGGAGCATGCAAGAAAGCCTAAAGCGAGAGCTCTCATGCTATCTTACATAATTACATACAACTCCTATGGCATTTATCATAATGATCACTACCTTAACAATACTCAACCCAACATAATACTACTCCTATATCATATAATGAAAGAATATACACTGCAATACATAGTATATTGAGGAAACTCACCTGGATCGAAGACCCATGGAAGCACAGTAACACACTCACTCCTTGCGCTAATCAATCCCAAGAACCGACTAGCACCAAACAGAGATCAATCCTTAATCAATAACCTAAGGCCTTCAAGTTTGATCCAAAGTCAAAATTGTCAAAAGTTAGTGGTTAATGGTAAACAAAAGTCAATGGTCAACTAAGTCAACAGCCACCATAACTTGGAGACCTCTTGGCCACGTTGTGGGCATAACTGGACAAAACAGTCGACATGTTGGACACCATCACGTTGTCGTCTTGGTTTCTAGCAGATTGCATTTTCTTAATTGAGAGCTTAATCCTTACAGATCTAAGCCCATAACTTCATATTTAGACCTTTTCAATGACTTAGTGGATAATTTCCAAATTTATCCATTAGGGCTTCATCACAATGAAAGATCTACAACCTTAAGTCCCTTAAGCCCTTAATAAGACCAAAACTTGTGCATAAACATAAGGTAACTCTAAACATGACTCCTTTCTCATTTATTAGAAACCTAATGACCATTAGAGATCCATTAACTAGCTCTGGAGTTCCTCAAACTCTCACACCATGACCAAATCCTTTAAAATGAACTCATACTTGAAACAAGAAGAATAAGGGTCAAGGTATGAAATTTATACCTTAAATAATGCAAAAATAAGAAGATGATGATGGATCCAAGCCAATTCATTCCTTCCTTTCACCAATATGAGCTTCCATCTTCCTCAATCTTCATAAATATCCAAAGAATAAGCTCTAAATTGTCACGCCCCGAACCAGGATGGTGGAAACATCCGGAGGCGGATGACGTCATTGTATAGTATCATAAAAATTGAATATAGATGAAACATAACAACCTAAAATTGTTGGATTATGTGTCTAAGACCATAACCATTCCGGTATGTACTTGACCCGATTACGAGCATGGTCTTTTTGGGTTGCCTTCGCCATAGCAACTGATAAGATGAACTAAGGAGAAAGAGAATTAATTATGATTTATTAAATATATTATAAGAATAATATGTTAAAGGAGAAATTATATTGTTTAATTAATATTAGTTTAAAATTAATTAAGAATTAGTTTTGTGACTAAAAGAGATTAATTAAATAAAGGGGAATGATATTGCAATTATATGATAATTGCAATTAGGCGATGAATTCCTAATGGAAAGGGGATTTGATGAAATCTATGGGAAGCCCATATAGATTTTGTCCAAGGGCTTTTTAAAAGGACACCATGAGTTGCTTAAGGCCTAAGCAAAGAATTAGGATTTACCTGAAACCCTAGCAGTCCACACAAGTATAAAAAGGACCCCTAGGGCTCCCAAAAACGTGGCTAAGCATTCTCTAGTAGATATTGGACGTTTTTTGTGTTCCTCCTACTTCTCCTAAGTCATCTTGTTGCTCATGGTGTTTGTGACTCCATTAGAGATGCAACATTTGAGGCACTAAGCTTTCAAGAGTCAACATCAAGGAGATTTGTGATTGTTATTGCTACATAACAATCAAGGTAAAATTTAAACCCTTTATTATGATAATATCGATTATGGGAAATCTTCAAATAAGTCCCAAACTTTTGGGTAAAGTTACACTTTTGTCCAAACATTTTTTTTTTGAACAAAACAACCCATAAAATCGGGTAAATCGAACATTTTGGCGTTATGTTACCGGCAACCCTCATTTAGCCGGTTAAATTGGCTTATGTGGCAAGGAGTTGCTTACGTGGGTTTAATCGATCTCATTTACACACATACATACACAATACAACTTACCTCTCTCATTTCACTTTCTCCCTCCCCCTCAGTAAACTAAGGTTTTTTACCCCTGTGCAGTTGAAATCATGGATGACATCCATGATTTTGATACAATAGATGTGGAGCTGGATGCGTACTTCAAAAAGAAATAAACTTCCTGATGTAAAGACGAATTTCTCAATATTTTTATGTGAAGAAGACGATTATGAGGCAGTAGATGATGCTCAAACTGAAAATGATGCTCAAAATGGAAACGATTGTGACATCCCCAAAAATCACGGCCAGAAAAGACCGATTTTGTTTATGCTTTATAAAAATCAGAGTACTTCATTTTATAAAAAGGTTGCAGAATTTGTTCCCAGAAAAACATGGTAAATACGTTATTAAAACATTTTTGAAGAAACGTATTTATTTCATTTTAAAACGTTTGGGATGTCATCGTTAATACAGGAACATAAGCATAAACAGAACTTACAATTATTCACACTAGTGGTCTACATCTCTTTAAATCTCTCAGTGTAATGTCACTTCATATCAACACCTGTGATATAAATAAACTGAGTGGGTCAGGTTGGGAAACCTGGTGAGCACATAGGGATTTCAATCCCACAATGTTATACCATATATATAGTTTAAAATTCACAAAATATACAATTTCACCATACATATATATATATATATATAAACAACTCTTATCCCACCCCGTCGATCCTCGCAACGAGGCTATCCATACTCTCGGACCTAAGATTAGTCGTTTTACCTACTCCATACTCTCGGATCAGAAATGAACGAATTTACCAAATCCATACTCTCGGACTAGGGACGAATGACTAATCCATACTCTCGGATTAAAGATGAATGATTATGCCTAATCCATACTCTCGGACTAGGGACAATAGCTAATCCATACTCTCGGATTAACGACGAATGATTATGCCTAATCCATATTCTCGGACTAGGGACAATGACTATGTCTAATCCATACTCCCGGATAAGTGACATATACTAACTTCTATTCTCTGAGTTTAACTCACTTGTACTCGTAAGAATATACTACCCAATATTTCTCATATGTAATTTAGGTCTACTCTTTATCCTAAATTATCAAATATAATCATGTATGTTCTTTAACACGAATTTCAAGCAACATCAATTAACTCGCACATAAACATATAATTAATACTTCAATCAATACTTGTATTAAAATCATGTTCATGAAAGGGACTATGCACTCACCTGAGAAGGTGGTGACTCGGTACTCGGACAGCGCTTCGTTTACTTTAAAATAATTTCCTTCGTCGAAACCTAGTATTATCACCAATAGATTTTAGTCTATTATTCGTCGAGACTAATTAATAGTCTAGCTATTATTAATATTATATAAGCGTTAAAAAAATACTTACATAACCCATAATAATAGCCCAAGTATTTATTATATGTTCTTAATAACGTTAATATAATTAAATAAAAACTATATTAAAAATAGCGTAGGCGTAGCTCACTTACAGCGGGTTTTATAGAGAACCAGGCTTTGCTTGGAGCAGCGTTTCCGAGCCGAAAAGCTCTTCTTCTCGGAGCCGTCGAGCACTCCGGGGCTTCCGCCTCGTGCTAGGGAGGTTCCCTAGGCTTTTCGGGGGATTTCGGGGCTAAAGAGAGGTTCTAGAGAGAGAGTAAAGAGAAGAAAGAATGGGAAAGGTGTGAAGAAAATGAGGGTGGGAGAGGTGGTATTTATAGGGTGAAAATGGCTGAACTTGGTGCCACATGTCACCATCTAGTGGCAAGACTTGGGGAGAAAGCAATAGCCAAGATTGTGCCACATCACCCATTTTCGCACAACACACTTCCGACTTCTAAAATCTGTAACTTTCACATACGACCTCCGTTTTTCATGTTCTTTATATCCACGCGTAGGTAAAAATAATTTCTACAACTTTCATTTTGACTCCGTCGGCTAATTCTCAACCGATCTTAAATTTAACAGTACGAGGCGTTTAGACTGTTAAATGACCGCGAAGAATTCGTAACTCCTTCATACGGACTCTGTTTTCGTCTGTCTTTTTACCGTTGAGTTCCTATTAATGAGATCTTCAACTCTCATTTATTTCACATAAGCCAAAAACCGCTCGAACTAAAATTCGAGTTTCGGGCTGTACACTGCTAAGCCGAATCTTAGAAAAATCATAACTTCCTCATACGAAGTCAGATTTGGGCGTTCTTTTTATCGACGCTCTTAGTTTAACATATTCTACGACTTTTGTTTAGATTGCTAAGGCTAAAAAGTCTTCTATCGTAAATTCACTATTTACGTCTTCCGGTGCCGTGCCGGTTTTGCCGTAAAACTTCGGCGGGCCATAACTTCTTCGTTATAACTCGGATTTCGGCGTTCTTTATATGTACGGAAACCTTGTGACATATTATAAAAATTGGTTAAGACTAGTCATTCTAAATAATCTTTTGTCGAAAAGTCATTTTTGACCCCTATTGCCTCTAAATTGACTAGCCCGGATCTGCGGGCGTTACAACGATGCTCAAACTGGTATCACTAAAGAAGAATCAGATGAAAATTATCTGGAAGGTAGTAACAAGGAAGGTAGTGATGAGGAATTTTAGTATTCCACCCACAATCCAAAGGTAAAATGGAACAAAATGAGACCAATGCTTAGTGAAAGGTATGAATTCCCACATGAACTGAAATTGTGATTGACCAACTATGTTGTTAGTAAGGGTTTTCAAATCTGTTTCAAAAAATGTGATAGTGTTAGACTAGTGGAAATATGTGGAAGTGATCCATAGAAGTGTCCGTTTGTGGTTAAGGCTTCTTGGAAGAGTACTGAAAGGTATTTCCATGTTAAAAAGATGATAGACATTCATAAATATGTTAGGAACTTTAACAATTCAATGCTTATGGATCCTACCTGGTTAGCTAGGAAATTTATGAAGGAGTTGATCAGGAAACCTAATTTAAAATGCAAAGAGATGCAGAAGGAGTTGATCAGGAAACCTAATTTAAAATGCAAAGTGATGCAAAGAGGTGAAGGAGTGGATCCTACCTGGTTAGCTAGGAAATTTGTGAAGGAGTTGTTCAAGAAGCCTAATTATACAAAGTAAATTTCATTGCAAAATTTCATGGTCAAAGTGTTATAGATCAAGGATGAGGGCACTATCATTAATTCATGGGAATTTGAGTGACCACTACGTAAGAGTTTGGGATTATGGGCATGAGATACTGAGATCCAATCCAGACAACACAGTTAGGATTACAGTTTACTATAAACCCTGATAATACCACAACATTTCATAGATTCTACATTTTCTTTAAAGCAATAAGAGATGATGGAAAAGGGCATGTCGTAGAGTAATAGGATTGGATGGTTCTTTTTTGAAGGGACAATGTAAGGGTGAATTATTAACTGCAATAGGTAGGGATGCCAATAATCAGGTGTATCCTATAGCTTGGGTAGTTGTTGATGTAGAGAAAAAGAACAACTGGAAATGGTTCCTAGATTTGGTTATTGATGATCTTGGATTGCAGGGTGGAAAGG